AGCAAAGCAACCACTTATGCTTAGCGCCTATCCCCCAATCTCCACCCAGCTTTCTTTCCCAAATACCGGTCAACGTTTGACGCGCTTCCAAAAGTCGGCCAATCACCCAGCTGCGGATCACCACAGGCCACATTGATCACAGAACCTTGTTCTAGAGCAACTTACAGTAAATAGGTTTCAACACACTCTCCCTCTCTCACACATCCACGCACCTGTCTCGAGCCAAGACACGGCCATGTCGGACCTGGCGAAGCAGTTTGCAAAAACCAAGCTTTCCGCCCTGCCCCCACCAGAGCCGCTGGTGGAAGAGCAGCCGGAATACGAGGATGATTCGTCTTCGGCTTCGTCCATGTCCAGTACCGGCACAGTGATACCGTCTGGCGCTTTGAGGCCTGCGCCTGCGATACACTGGTCCGACTACTTTGCCCAGGAGTTTTATTTGGAGCAGGATAGGCCAGGACAGGGCCATGCAAAGTTTCATGTGTACCTGACCCCGCCCGCGAATGTCAAGGCGCCATTGCTCGTCTTGCATCATGGAGCTGGTAGCTCGGCGATGAGTTTTGCCCTCATGGCCAAGGAGGTGCGCAAGGCTATGCCAGACATTGGTATCTTGGCCGTCGAGGCACGAGATCATGGAAGTGTGGTCTGGACTGCAGACGGACAAGTGGATGAGAACCTCAGTGTTGAGCTGCTTGGACTAGATCTGGTGGACATGATGCATCTCACGCAGACGAGAGTAGGCTGGCAAGAACTACCCCCCATCATCTTGATCGGCCACAGTCTCGGTGGTGCTGTAGTCACCGAGGCGGCCAGCAAAGGATTATTGGGCAACAAACTGCTTGGTTTTGGTGTCTTGGACGTGGTCGAGGGCTCGGCCATGGAAGCACTGGGACACATGCAAACCTACCTGTCCAGTCGGCCACAGACTTTCCCTTCTCAAGCGGCAGCAATCGAGTGGCACATACGATCACGAACACTTCGCAATCCCCAATCAGCGAGAGCAAGTGTTCCCAGTCTTTTGCTGCAGACATCAGATGGCCGGTGGGCGTGGCGGACAAAACTGTCTACCACCGAAACATACTGGGAGAACTGGTTCACGGGCATGAGCGGAAAGTTTCTGAACAGCAAGGGGGCGAAGCTGTTGATACTCGCTGGAACAGATAGGCTGGACAAGGAATTGATGATTGGACAAATGCAGGGTAAATTTCCCAGAGGGCATGCTATTCGTCAAAGAGGTATTTAACACCACGCAGGTAAATTCCAACTGCAAGTCTTTCCAGCCGCAGGCCATTTTCTTCAAGAGGATCAGCCCGAAAAGACAGCCGAAGTGGTAGTCGAATTCATCAAACGCAATGATCGAAGTGCGCTCGTGCTGCCCCCAAAAGTCTCAGATCTGCTTGCTCAAGGCAAGAAGGTATAGATTCATAGAAATGGCCTGTCTCTGCTCGGTTCCATGAGCATGCTCTGTGGATAAAGACTTAGGCTGCCGTATGCTGAGGTATGTAACGACTGCATCTCTGGATTACCATTTTTTTTTCTTCCTAACAACGCCTAGTATGCCTCATAACGCCAGGTATAGATGCATGCATACAAAAAAATGTGGACAGGGGGGGAGAAGTTCAAGGTGAACCTGCTTCTTCACCGTCTGCAGTAACACTTGCTCCTGCTTTAGACCTGTACTTCCGTCTTCTCTTGCGAGGTGCTGGATCATTAGCGTCGCCTTCGTTGATAGCATTTTCACCGGCACCTGGTGCGGTCGGTTGGTCCCCATCTTTCTCGGCAGACTTTGCTGGCTTGGTAGCCTTGGGTTTGGGTGGGCCTGTGTCTTTCTTGGCCTTCTTTACGCTGAGCGGATTAGGACCCTTAGGGCCCTTTTGACGTTTCTTCGAAGGTTTTGCGTCTTCCGTAGGCTTAACCTCAGTAGGTTCTTCATCGTGTGCCTCGCTATCATTGCGCTTCCGCTTCTCACCTGCCTCCGGCTTCCGCTGACCTTTGAGCCCCATTCTAAACTTTGACTTCTCTTCTCGTTCGCGCAATTCCTCTGTGACATCTGCCATGGGCTCCATGAGCACCACCGATTTCGAAATGTATATGAGCGGTACGCCGGCAATGCGGCGCATTCGTTTGCGCACGTCGACATCGTTGCTGCATACAATGTAGCGGAACTTGTTGGTCTTGTTGTCTTTGGGGTCCACGACTGAACTCAGACACTCGAGGGTAGACAGCGGTTGTTCGAGATCCTGATGGTTACATCTTCGCCGCTCGTACTCTTTTGCTTGGAGGATCAGGGTTTCGTTCTTGGGCTTCGCGAGGTATAGATGGCGCATGTCGCATGTCGTGATCATGGGCTTGACTTGGCCACCGAGCATCTTCTGGAGTCGCGCGACAAGGTCGATCTTGCATCTGTAGGCATCTTCAAGGATCTGTGAGTCGAGCAGGACCTGGTAGGGTTCGCGGAAGCCGAAGTTGAGTTCATATTGGTGAAGAAGCTTTTTATAAGCCTTTTTTTTAGTCAGTCAGTAAGTAGATTCACCTTCATCTCAGGAGAGAACAAGAGAGCCTGCCTTTGCGCGCTTCAGCTTCATTGCGGACGCGAGATGTGTGGTTTTGCTGGGAGTTTGGCAGTTGTGGAGACAAAAGTTCGGTGATGCAAATGTTCTCGAAACTTAATGCGGCGTCAGCGTCCGTGCACCCAACATGCCGCATCGACGTCTGCGGCCTTTACAGTAGGGCAGGCACCCCCGTTGACCTCCGCCTTTCGAAGATCAAGGCCTGAGGGCCCCCCCGATTGCAGCCTGCCTGTACATAATCCAGTGCTTCTCCCATATATATTTGGTCTTGGTCGAATCGCCCCTCCCATACACATCCTGGCCCCATTAGCCTTTGCGTCTAATTGCTCGATGCGCCCGCGGTAGCACCCAACATGTTGAGCGAGACCCCCGCTGACGCTCAGAGCGACGAGGCCAAAAGTAGCGCCACCAGCGCCAACAGTGGCGCCACGACTGTGGCTGCTGCTACAAAGCCCCCTGATGTATCCAAGGCAGAGGTTGAATATGATGACTTTGGGCTACCTATACGGAAACGGCGGCCTAGGACGCCCGTCAGCGAGACGTCAGACTCCTCCGATGAGGGGGAGAAGTTCGAGGACACGGTAGCTTCGAAAGCGGCCGGCCACGATATAGAAGAATTGGCTAGGGTGGACAAGCAGGATGATAGTACAGGAAAAACACCTGGGCTCGTGACAGAGATTGTACCCGAGGAAGCGAAGTCAGAGAGAAAGGCGCCACCCCGAATCAATGACCGTGCAGAAGACACCAATTCGAACGCTGGGCACACGGAGAACGACCAAAAATCAACAGGGAAGGAAGATGCTGTTGGTGCAACATCGGCGATGAAGGAGAACCGTGAAGAGGAGACGAAGGATGCAGAGAAGCAGACGTTGAAGAAAGACGGTGTGGAGGAATCGGTAGAGAAGAAAGAGACTCCAGACAAGCATGTGGATGACAAAGGTGATGGTGATTTGGGCACACAGCAACTTCAAAGCACACAACAGTCCTCAGCAGCGAGTGCAACCGCGCCTGCACACCGCCATCAAACCAGCATCATATCCGTAAACGAGTACTCGCATCAGCATGCTGTCCTACAACCTAAACAGAAAGAAGAAGTAAAGGAGGATGAAGGCGAATGGCAGACCATGCCTGCGTATGCCCACTATGACATGTACGACGATGACAACCGCCTCATTGCAAAGGAGAATGCGGAAGAGCTGGAAGACATGAGTGGGTACGCCAACGTTGGCGGAGCGGCGAAAGGCTACACGAGGGTCATCATGGACGATGATGCGGATTCGCAAACAAGCCTGGACGACAACACCGCCTATTTGTTCAAAGAGAAAAGCACCGCACTGGCTGACGAAGACGAAGAAGGCCGAGATCCACTCAGCCAATTGCAGACTACGAAGAATCTCCTTACTGAAGGACAACGTGTCGCATACGTCGGGCTAGTTCGTCTAGCCATGGTAGAGATGGGAAACAAGTTATCCAAGATTGAAAGAAAGAGCAAATCTGTCAAGAAAATGCTGGACATGCATACAGAAACTTCAAGAATGTGGGCTCAAAAGATCATGGTCAGATTGTATGGACACATGGACATCAATGCTTCCGAGCAGATCATGATCGAGCAACTCTCGGAGCATGGCGTCGTCCCTGCAGATCTTGTTCCAGCTCTGATGCAGAACGCTCGAGTGAAGAATCCTGCTGCCGAAGAGCCGGAGGCGTCAGACTCAACAAAAGATGGCGGGTCCGCGCGACCATCTGTCTCTTCCCCGCGACCTCAAACACCCGTAGACGGAGTACAGTCCCGGCGAAAATCGGATTCATCAGATAGCCTACAGTCATCATCTCCTCCGCCATATGAGCAACACCATGGAGATGACTATCCCGAAGTGAAGAAACCCTCACAATTGCCCAAAAGTAAAAATTTGGATATCGATCTTCGGTGGACAGTACTTTGCGATCTGTTCCTAGTATTGATCGCAGATTCAGTCTACGACTCGCGCTCAAGGGAACTCTTCGAGCAGGTTGGAAAGTATCTGAGCGTGGACTGGCTCGAGATTTGCCGGTTCGAGAAGCGCGTGACAGACGCTTTGGAAATGCAAGAACAGGCCGACAAGGAAAATTGGAATGAAGACGAACACATGGTCAACCGGGCGAAACGGGCGCGCAACAAGCGTCTTGCTTTCATGGGTCTTGCCACGGTGGGAGGTGGCCTTGTTATTGGTCTATCTGCTGGATTGCTTGCTCCCCTCATCGGTGCGGGTCTTGCAGCAGGATTCACGACTATTGGTGTCGCGGGGACTAGTACATTCCTTGCAGGCGCTGGAGGTGCAGCCATCATCACCTCGACAGGCGTTGTCACGGGTAGTACGGTAGGTGTCCGAGCTGCCAACAGGCGGACGGGTGCGGTCAAGACATTCGAATATCGACCTTTGCACAACAATAAAAGGACGCATCTTATTATTACTCTTGCTGGATGGATGAACGGCAAGGTCGACGATGTCAGGCTACCATATAGTACTGTAGACCCTGTCATGGGCGATATATACTCGGTTCTTTGGGAGCCCGAGATGCTGAGGAGTATGGGTGCTACCATCAATATCCTTGCCACCGAAGTGAGTAGAAAATGCCCAAGGTGCGACACCGTCCGATTAACACGTATTAGGCTTTGACGCAAGGTCTGCAACAAGTGCTTGGAAGTACTATATTGACAGCTCTCATGGCTGCTATGACACTTCCTCTTGCGCTCACAAAGCTATCGTATCTCATCGACAACCCGTGGGTTGTCTCGCAAGCCAGAGCAGACATGGCCGGTCTCATTCTTGCCGACTCGCTCATTGACCGCAATCTCGGAACGCGGCCTGTAACGCTAGTCGGTTTCTCTCTGGGATCGAGAGTTATATTCTCGTGCTTAAAGGAACTTGCCAATCGTGGTGCTTTTGGCGTGGTCCAGAATGTATACATGTTTGGTACGCCTGTCGTTGCCAAAAATGACGACTATGTCAGGGCAAGATCCATTGTTCCCGGAAGGTTCGTCAACGGGTATGCTACAAATGACTGGATTCTTGGTATGTCTTGGGAGATTGTTCTACTCCGTCTGTTGCTGACTGCTTAATCAGGCTACTTATTCCGTGCAACTAGCGGCGGTGTTATGCGCGTGGCAGGTCTCGCACCTGTGCAAGTACCTACGATCGAGAACGTGAACGTTACTGAGTTAGTACCGGGTCATATGGCCTACCGTGCTGCAATGCCCAAGCTCCTTCGAGAAGTTGGGTGGATCGTGGAGTCTGATGAATTCGCTGAGATCGAAGACCCGGATCCGGACAATCACGAATTGCGCCAACGCGAGCTCATCAACGAGATCGAAGAAGCTCGCAAAGAGCTTGAGAAGAAAAATGCTGAGAAGGAGAAGAGGGGTGGCAAGCTAAGTTGGTGGAAGAAGAAAAAGGGAGACAAGAAGGAGTGGGAAGTCTATGACGAGAACTCCACACTGCCGCACCATAAACCCATTGATGCGGATGGTGATCCAGCAAAAATTGCAGAAAATCCCATCATGTTCGACATTGACGCCATCAGGAAGGAAGTTGCCGCACTCGCAGCTGAAAGCAAAGAGTATAATGCCGAGGCCGAATTTGAAATCAAGGAAATCAAGAGTACGTTACCGCCGATGAAGATCGATATTAGTACCGTACCATCACCGCCGTACTCGAATCTTAGGGAGACGAAGAGTTATAATGATAGTCTTGCGACGTCATCAATAGACAGCAAGACAGCCACAAACGGGGCACACACCTCGGCCGGCACCAGTACGTTTGGAAAGAATACTTTTGAAGAATACGATGAATACGATGAAGGTGCGGAGCACATGGAAATGACCTTTGAGTCCTCCTTCCGCGAACCATCACCATCAGCAATCAAATCTCCGATGCCAGCGAGCACAGGACACTCGGGAGCGTCAACGCCTTGGGAGCCGACGCCGATCAAGTCCCCATGGAACCCGGAGTCACAATCCGCCTGGGACGACCTGACACCAGCGGAACGACCACCATTAAAATCAATGAAGACGAGTCCCGACCCAATAACTTCAACCAATACAAATGGTAATCCAGGATACAACGCTTGGGCCGATGAGTTTGATGACGACTTTGGAAAGGAGAAGGAGGTTCAGATGACGTTCATGTGAAGCATCATCTCTCTTGCTTTGGTTGGTGCGTCCGGGTGTATTGTTTGTACTTTCAGCGCGCATTTTGGGCGTTGGTCTGGCTGTTTTCTCATGGCGTTGTCTGCTCTTCTGGACTGCCCTCTCAGCCATTTTTTGGCTGTTCTCGTGGAGAGAAGGGAGTGTGATTTCAAGGGGCCTGTTTTGGGTATGTGGTCACCATACAGCATCAAGACTTTGAATTTTCCGACGCTACGTATTAATGTTTAACAATCTTATCATGTCAATATTGTACTCCGACTAGGCTCTCCTGCTGTGCGATATTCGCAGGCATAGCAGCATATCTAACCCAAGGTTCAGGTTATGGGATTGAGCTTGTGCTTGGACCAACATCGTCATACGTCTCGATGCGTGCCACACCCGCACAGCAACACAGCACAACACTGCGCAACGAATGACGACGGAAGAAGCATCCCCTCGCGCCACAACTCACACTGCAATAAAGCCATGCGGTGAAACCGTGCAGCAGTGGAAGCCGCGTGTCTTGCTATTTTGGTCGACCAAGGAAGACCAACTTTACACTCGCTGATGCGGGGAATGACGGAGGCCAGCCACTGGCGCAAGGGGGCTCCGTTCGTCATAGTTGAGACAGTGGCAAGCCATCTTTACAGCGGCAACCCTAATAGCAACCCCAGCAACGTACCTGCGACGTAATACTAGTGGTCTGCTGGTGGCTGCTCAGCTGTTTAAACTGGTGCCAACAGTATTCCTCTTGGTTGTTCTTTCTCCCCCTGCTGTAGATCCTCGAGTGGCTTCCTTGAGGGCATGGATATCACTTGAACTATTCTCGAGTCATCTTCTTCATCGTTTATCCTCTTGTTGTACAGCTCAAACCCGGACTAACCAATGTAAACGACATCCATCATCATGGCCATAACAACGATCCAGATGCGTGAAGGCAAAGAGCTCGTCGGCGAGAACGGCCAACGATACCTCCTCGTTCAGGCCATGGGCCAGCCAAACGTTTGGATTGCCGTCGACGCTGCCACACAAGAGAAGCTTTATATAGTCAAGCAGCCCAGCGACGACGACGATATGCCAGGATGGCCACGCTTCCAACACGAGATGGTCATGCACGAGCTGTTCAAGGAACACGATGCCATACGTCCACAACTCGACCGTATCCCACCGACCTCGCACGCCGATCCACCGAAATTAGTGCTTGAGCTCTTGCAGACGACATTGTGGGATGCGCGGCGGAAGCGCGAATTTAGCGATGCAGAGCTCAAGCAGGTTATGCGGCAGATTCTCCTGGGTCTGCAGGAAGTCCATCAACGGGGCCTTGTCTACGCTGGTACGCACTTTTTTTCTTCTCGGTCATTCTGATACTGCTCTTTCTCACAAACTCTAACACGCTATACAGATCTCAAAATGGAGAATATACTCCTCAGCAACTTTGTCCCATCCGCCTCGTCCTCTACTCCATCCTCCACTAGCCCGAACCCTTCCAAGCCAGATATCACCGCCAAACTCGGCGACCTAGGCATCGTAATGTCTCCCATGCGCGGCACCGTACAACCCCTCGCCTACCGCGCCCCAGAAGTCTACTTTCGCCAGGAAATCACACCAGCAGCGGACATCTGGTCCTGGGGTCTCATCTACTGCCAGCTCCTCGAAGCGCAAGCATCTTTCCAGAACTCGGGACTCTATGACGAGTTACTCCAAGGTAATGGCACGGGTTTTGTGCAAAAGGAACTCAGCGTCAGGAGGGCTATTGCCAAAGACTTTGATCTCGGAGGCGTGCGGTATTATGACGGTTGCGGGCTCGAGGGGATGGGAAGAGAGGGCGGTCAGTGGGAGGCGTTGAGACGGAAAGGGGTTGGGGAGCGAGCTATCGGATTTCTAAAGTGGATTCTTAATCCTGTGCCTGGGGAGCGGCCAACGGCAGAGCAGATTCTCAACTCTGAATGGCTGGCTTCTACATTTCGTGAAGATGCTACTCCCGCCTCCACCTCCTCTTCCACCATTACACCCTCCACCACTACTCCAGCCCACCCTCCCGCGCAAAAACCACGCAAAAATAGTGAACCAAGCCTCGTCACCAAACTCTACAACCAAATCACCAATACCAAGCGCGACCGCTCCCCCGACTCAGAATCCTCGTCGCAAACAAGGGAGGAGCAGAGAAACGTCCGTCCCACGCCTTTAACAGACTTTGGGGCTCGCGAAGCGGATGCTGCTGTGAATGTGAGGGAGCAAAAGGGGGTCACGGACAGGCCAGGGACGGCTAGGAGTAGCTCTGTGGATGTGGGGACGGGGACGTTTTTGAATTATGGAGGGTTGATGGGGTGAAGGGGTGGGAAGGTATGGATGGGTTTGTGTCGGGTTTGCTTTATTAGTTCGTAGAGGGAAGGGGGATAATGTTCATGACGGGCTTGGTCATGTATCCTGTGTTGCGTATCATATTTCATCTTGCGTCTGTGATGAGCGTGTTCGTACCACACCGTACTGTGCACACACACTAGACATCTGGAATCCCCGACTCACTGATTTTCCAGCCAGGCTATCCTTGCGCCTCTGTACCAAGATTCTATATCACACCGAGCGTATGCAATGCATAAATGGTAATTCAAAATGTCATCACATTGCAATGCAATACTGTGTGTTTACCTGTTTTATAACCCTAAACGCTTGTACATATGTCTGATTGAAACGATGAAACCGGGAAATCTGGAAATAATGACTATTTGCGCTTGTGAGAGCCCTACATTTTAGGCAAACATTGATGCAGCAAAGAACTGCTGTGCCAACCCATCTGTACGTTGGCCAAAATTGCAAAGATAGCAGTGGATATCCTAATTTTTCCCAATCTTTCCAAAGAAAAAGATTACAATCCTGGTACGTGATCCATTCATAACAGACGCAATTTCCGGGAACCTTTTGTACAGTTTTGCTAAACGAAGCTTGTCCCCAACCTGCCCCTCCAGTTCCCAACAATCCTATTCAAACTCAAAAGAATATCGCCCCGCATCGGATACGCCTGTAGAAGGCTTCGAGCCCTCTACGTCTCGACTTCCTGCTTGCGGCGACGCATGCTGCCAAAGCGTTTCTTTAGGCTACTGCCCATACTAAGGCCATTGAAGCCACTTTGGCCAATACCAGAGGCGTCGGCCGTATAGGGGCCAGCGGGAGAAAGGAGTGCTGCGTCTGGGTGGCCAGTGCTCTTGCTGCGGGAGTGGCGAGTTGATAATTCGGTTCCCGTGGCGCCGAGGCGCTTGTGGTCTTTGAGAGCCTTTTCAATGGTGAAGGAGGGTTCACCTTTGCCTTTGAGGTCGTCGGGGTGGTAGTGCTGGATAATGTGTTAGGAGATTTTTTTTACTAAATGAGATCTGGTGTAACTTACCTGTCCAGGCCATCGGCGGTAGTCGCCGCCAGGTTCACGCTGTAGGTCAGCGCCTTCTTGATAGTGAAGAACTCTGCCGAAACGATCAGGCATGCCTGGTGGAATGTTTGCGACGCCTTCCAGTGGACGGTGGCGGGTCAGAGCGTCCTTGATATTCTCCTCTGGAGTGGCCCTCAATGCCTCCTCGTTGGATTCCCGAACCGCTGCGACTGGACTGTACTTTTCATTCCTGTTTCGCGCAAGACTGGCGGCATCATACGGGCCTTCGTGATGGTACTGGGAGAATCCCGCGCGATCGAGACGGTCGATGACGTCGGCGCCTTGAAAGTTCTTCTTTCTAAGATGAGGAGCACGATGAGCAACTTTCACTTCTTTACGGATTTGGTCAAGGGGCCGGTTGGACGTGTCACCAGGGTAGCGTTCCCGTAGTGATCCTCTGCGAGCATGTGCGTTCGTCTGAAAGGTCGGTTTACCAGGACTGCTCGATCGTCGAGGACGACCTTCATTCAAGTGCCCCAGAATTTCTGAGCGATAGTCGTGAGGCCGGAGGAAGTTCTCACGACGAGGGCTAGCCGATTGGGGAGGAGAAGGATAATTGTGCCTCCTATCATTCTTGGGGCTTGAGCGCTCACGAGGTGTTCCAAAAGGATTTTTTGTGTCTGAAGATGCTCTTGATCGACGGTACGGGTTGGTCTCCACAGAACTCCCCGTTCTTTGCTCTCGAATATTTAAGGATGCAAGGTCTTTTGTGATTCCATCTGAGCCAGGAGGTGTAATAGGTTCTGCAGGTGCAAAAGTGGACCGAAAGCGTGTGTTCAATCCAGTCTCGTCACTTGGGTCTGGCTCGATCAGAGGATCGATCAAAGCATGTTTCGCCTTGGAAAGTCAGTATTATTGATGTTGCAGCAGAAGCGATGCAGTAGTTGAGATGAGTGAGACAATGAAGTTTTCTTCTTCTTCTTTTGGAGCGAGGCTCGAATGACATGTCCCAAACACGTGCGCAACGCAAGGGACGACACGACAGAAGCTGACCTACCTGCTCCATAATGCTTTTATTATTGAAAGATGTTTCAAGTCTTTGAACGGCTGAATAGGCTGGCTGGCTGGCAGGGTGGAAGATGTTTTACGAGGGAACGAGGGGGAGATCTAGAATGCGAGCAGGTGACAATGGGAATCGGCCTAGATATGGCAACGATGGAAAAGGGCTTACTTGGCAGGCACGACGACGCGTAACATGTCATCCTGCTCGCCCGTAAACCGCGTCAGTCTCTCTGGCTGGGAAACCCCAAAAAGATGCCAACCCAAAGAATGCCAACCCAAAGGTGCCCACTCGCAAAGAGAATGACGTACGCCGGATGCGCTAGGGCCGAGAGCGGAGCATCAAGGGTATAATCAATCCTTAGTTCAGCTGTGGAGCCGCCTTTCTCTCTTCCCGCCCAGCCACCTCCCACACCCCCCAGTGAGCTGCAAGCGAGACTGTCGAATGCCTACTCCTTACGACAATGAATGGAAGATTGACCACAGCCACAAGATCAATATGTTGTAACCCTCCTCAAGATTGATTCAAAAGGAGGAGAAGAAAAAAACCACCCCAGAAGCCCCCAAGGAATCAAACCAGAGTCCAGACATGCCCCTTGTCGCTTACCCAGACTCCGAGTCTGACGAGGACGATAAGAGCAACACGGTATTGGCACAGCCAGCACAGCCTGTCAGCAAGTCTGCCGCCGTGAAGCGCAAGCACAGCGGAGAGCACAACCTCCCACCACTACCAGCAACTTTTCATGACTTGTACTCGACAAATGCCCGCGTCAGTACAAGCGACAATCCCAGTCTCCACGGCGGCCGAAAGCGGGCTGTACCGCACGTGCAAGGCAATTGGCCGAGCCATGTCTATCTAGAGTGTGAGATCTCGTCTTGATATCCGTTTGCGATGGAGGGTGACTGTCGGCTGACGTGATGGAGGGATTCCTTCACAGACCGAAGCATACGGGTTGCACAAGTTGATTAAGCATGTCAAGGACTCTTTGGAACTACAGAATGCCACTCGGGCAAAGCAGCTTCCCATCCCAGAGATCATACCCTCTCTCCAGTCAGACCTAGCTTCCCCGCTGCCATTGCATATCTCGTTGTCGCGAACACTGCAGATCAAGACGGAAGATAGAAGTGTCTTTTTGGAATCGTTGGAGCACTCTATACGGAATTCTGCAGTTCGCACCTTCCATTATGCTTTTCATGGCCTCAAATGGGTGCCCAATTTTGACCGCAGCAGATGGTTCTTGGTTCTCAATATCACGAGGCCGCCACAAGATGAACTCAATCGACTGCTCAACGCCTGCAACCAAGCTGCCCAGAAGCACGGCCACGCTGGTCTGTATACCGGTGGAGAGGGTGACGGGCCGATGGAGGCCAGCGAGACCTCTCCAGAGTCTACCAAGCGCAAGGCGCCAACCTTGGGCGACCGCTCCGCCTTCTTCCACGTCAGTATCGCTTGGAACCTGTCTGAGCCTGCTCCTGAATGGATCTCCTGGGTCAAGAACATTGATGTCGGCGCATTCACGCAGCCGCCAGAAGCTGCGATTGATGTAGTCAAAGTGAGGATAGGCAATGTGGTTACCAGCATCGCCTTGGGATCCAAGCGACCTGGCCTGGCCATGCGAGGCAGTCTCATGGGCTTGGGTTGATTGTTATGCGCGATGGATCAGCATGGATGTGGGGTCGATCTTACCAGGGGTCCCTCGGCTTCGTCAGGCGTCGATGAGTTGTACTCTGAATATCCAATCAGAGCCACAGTTGTTTTCGACGTCATCCCATATGTACTGTGTAAGGTGTGGCGCGGCCATGATCTGGACTCGTGTCAGTTGTCACCTTCATCCCACCTCTGACCAAACCTCACATATTTCACAAAAAGTTCTCTGTAGAGTACAGTGCAACTTCTTCCCAAGCTATCAGACCGACCCAGTTATGGAACCGGGGGCTGCATCCAGACTTTGTGCACAGGACGCATGCAGTGGTGCAGGGTTGAAGGCATACGTGAGAGACAGTAACCCAACATACGTCATCTTATAGCCAACGCTGTAACAGCTATATGGCCTCACCGCAACAACGAAAGGAGTTGAGAACAGTCAAGTGTGTACATTTCAAGCTTTGAAGTGTGCCGTGATGGCCCATGGTATATACCAGCTTCAAATGTGCTTCTTCTAGTGTAAGAATCCTACTACGCCCGAACTGCACGTAGACTTGACTTTTCGGAAACTATCCGACGTTCGACTTGAGACTTGTTTACTTGTGACTTCATCTACCATGCGACGCAGTAGACCACCCACTCTGCAACGCGACCATGGGGAAACTATGTTTCTAGAACCGTCGACATATGCCACAACGCTTTGTGAAGTATGCTGCCACTCCATCTTATCATATGCAAACTAACATCGTAGGTGATCAATACATCTTCCTCTCCAGCTGATCAGTCGGTCAATCGCCTTTGGATGTAAGCTGCTCTTGTCGGCAGACAATGACGAGATTGGTCTAAAATACGAGATAGATATACACATGCCGGAGCACTTTTTGCAACCACAAAAACCCTGAACACAATGAGACTTCAAACATCTTTGAGTGCATTTACACCGCGATGTGAGCCCGCTTTCCAACACAGCATCATCTCGCTCCGAAACTCAATAACGTGAGACCTTCCCAGCCTGCACACCCACTTGCACGCTACTTATCCCCAAGTCGTCGTATTAAACAATACGGATGGAGAGCAGTCTCAATCTTCCTATTGTAATGCCGAACATCCGCGTTGTGAAGTAGCAATTCAAGGCGGAGACGGCCTAGTGTATGCTTATACAGCAAGCTGAATTTCATCGAGTGCCAATGCGCCAACCAACAATATGCACAAAAACAAACCCCCCAAGCCAGATTCGCACAAAACCAGAAGATCTATACTTGTAGAGATGGGAAATATCCCAATTTCAACAATGGCTTGTGTACGAAAGGAGGTAGATTTGCTATTGCTTCACAAAAGCCCATGTGGAGAGAGAGGCGTGGGTTCCAGAACCAGGCGATCATTGGCGAAAATGGAATGGATGGGCGAATACGCCCCTTATATAGCCAACTATTAATTGTCAGTTCTTGTTCGTTTGCTACTGGTCATCTGGCGATCGAGCTCTCGGCTGATGTTGTACGTTGAGGGAATTTTCGCCTGAGTAGTGGTATGTAGGTAATTAAAATACCAACTACTAGCCAGTCAGTGCCAAGTTAAGCACCAATAAGACAGATTCTCGGGGGCTTCCCTTGTTGACTACCATGTTTGCAAGGGGATGCTCATACATGCTCTGCAGGGGGATTACTTTGTGGTGCAAAAGTGTGTAGTCGGATGGACTGAAGATGAATGATGCATGGTGTCGTATTATGCACGCTTGGCCGCGATCCGAATCGAGTATTATCGTAACCAACAAGTCCAGACTTTTCAGTTGGAGCGGACATTTTGATGACGAGCAGACGAGATACCTAGCGGCGATGCCATTGCTCCTGAGTCGTGATACCAAGCGCACATGCCTCTGGCAATAAGTTTCAATGTCTTGGGATGTGGGATTGAGCCAATTAAAGAGGCATAGAGCAGGGATGAAGGTTAGGAAGTGGGCACGAGTCATTCTGTACCTGCATCTCGGCAGCGGTAACAATGACTGCAGACATGGGTTTGTCGGTCTCATCAAGGCGGTCACAAAGTCTAGCCGTTGGCGTCTTGTAGGAGAGATTGTGTTGCGATTTGATCGGCCATTCTTTGGCGATACGAGCGCTTGTGCGGCCTATTGTTCCTCAGAGTCGTCGATTTGCTGCAAGAAGAGATCAGCCGTACGGTAGTGGAAGACCGAAGGACCGAAGGAGCTCGACAGCAACATACATTGTATACATATTATAGAGAAGACCCAACCAACTTCATTCGAGGTCGGGAAGCTGGTCGCCTTGCTGCAGTGATTGAGGGCGATGGAGCTGGAGGAACCAGCCCCCTTGTCAGGAGAGATTGGTGCTAGGCCACAACCACGTCGCTTGAGCTATCTCGAGAACAGCACCATACTGATTTCGTCGACTCCTACCCCAGGACTTCATTTCCACAACACGGCCACGCTGCCGCACTATGCGGGGCCTGAGGTGTGAATGCTTGCCGCCCAAGCCCTTTCCCTGTAACTTTACCCACTGTGGTATGTTAATCTCCAGGACCCCTAACCTAACGGCTTCGAGGCTGGCGAGCCACTCTGCCTCCATGGCCAAGGCACATCCATCAAAAGCGCTGCGCCCCCGTAGGTTGGTCGAGTTTCCTCTCCACGCAAGGCTATTCCGTTACGCATCAGCAGCCTCGTTGACAAGTCCTTTGGCCTTTGTGCCCAATTCACTCTTTTCTATACTTAATATAATACCCGCTTCACTCGTTCAGCGGACCTTCACTGCCGACAGCCCGCGCTATACGCAGTCGACAAGAAACACAGGATGAAGTACTCGTTTGTTGCCGCCACCCTTGTGGGCGCCGTTCTGGCTGTCCAACACCATGGCCACGCTGGCTTTCACGCTCGTCGTGGAGGATACGAGGTGAAGCAAGAGGATGTCTGCACGGTCTACACCACCGTATACGTGACTGCACCCGCACCTGGTAAGTCCGTCTCGGGCCCACGGAGAGTCTTCGGGGCACAGGCATGAGTGCCTTTGTTCTGAGCAAAATAGTTGGGAAAAAGCAGTTGGGCTTGGAATATCTGAGGCTGATGCGACCTAGTTCCTACTGCCGTTACGAACTCGACCACTGGCTATCCAGAGGGTAACCCGCCCGTTTGCACCTCCTGCAAGCCTGAGACCCCAATCCAGACGCCCGTTGTCCTGTCCTCGACCCACGGCGCACCAGTGCCCTCCAAAGAGGCGCACCCTCCTGTCCCCGTGGCGTCAAAGGAGTCGCACCCTCCTGCTTCAGTTCCGGCTTCTTCCACACCTTGCGAGGAAGAGGAGGTTCCTACTCCTACCCCTGCTGTGCCAGTCGCCTCCAAGGACGGTCAGCCTCCTGCACCAGTCCCCGCCTCATCTACCCCTTGTGACGATGAAGATACTCCTGCTCCCACTCCTGTTATATCCGTTGCCTCGAAGGACGGTCACCCTCCTGCTTCAGTTCCCGCCACATCTACGCCCTGTGATGAAGAGGAGGAAACTCCTGCTCCTACCCCGGTCGTGCCAGTTCCTGCTTCATCCACGCCTTGCGACGAGGAGGAAGAGACTCCTGCTCCTACTCCAGTTGTGCCTGTAGCCTCTACGGAGGCTACCCCCTCTGCTCCTGCGCCAACGTCGTCTGCCCCTTGCACGGATGAGGAGGAGACTCCAGCCTACACTCCTGCGCCTGTCCCCTCCCAAGCAGCATACCCTCCTGGCCCGAAGCCTGAGACACCGAAACCAGAGGTCCCCAAGCCAGAGACCCCGGCGCCAGTCCCTTCCCAGGGATCATACCCTCCTGGCCCGAAGCCTGAGGCACCGAAACCAGAGGTCCCCAAGCCAGAGACCCCGGCGCCACCTTCCCAGGGATCATACCCTCCTGGCCCGAAGCCTGAGACACCGAAACCAGAGGTCCCCAAGCCAGAGACCCCGGCGCCAGTCCCTTCCCAGGGATCATACCCTCCTGGCCCGAAGCCTGAGACACCGAAACCAGAGGTCCCCAAGCCAGAGACCCCGGCGCCAGTCCCTTCCCAGGGATCATACCCTCCTGGCCCGAAGCCTGAGGCACCCAAGCCCGAGACTCCTACTCCAAAGCCCGAGACTCCTAAGCCAGAGACCCCCAGCCCTGCCCCTAGTACCTCCAAGGCGGCCGACAAGCCTAAGCCAACTGGTGGCTACAGCTCTGGTGGCCGCATCGAGACCAACGGCGACAAATGGGCCATTACCTACACTCCCTACGCCGCCAACGGAAACTGCAAGACGCAAGACGAGATCAAGGAAGACATCAAGAAGATCTCCGAGCTCGGTTTCACCACCATCCGCTCCTACAGCACCGACTGTGGCGTTTTTGAGTTTGTTGTGCCTGAGTGCCAGAAGTACAAGCTGAAGATCATCTACGGTATCTTCCTCGAGGGTGCTGGCAAGGGTCCTTTCTCCGAATACGCCAACGCCCAGCTCGAAGACATCAAGGAGAAGGCTCCCAAGGATAGTGTCGCCATGGTCATTGTCGGCAACGAGTGCATGTTCAACAACAACTGCCCAGCTAACGAGCTCGCCTCGTACATTGATTACGTTCGTACTGAGCTCCAGAAGGCTGGTTTTCCCCAGGACATTGCCATCACCACCACCGAGACTGTCGGTGTCTGGGAGGAGAAGGGCGCCGCTCTCTGCGGCCACATTGATGTCTTCACCGTCCAGGTTCACCCTTTCTTCACCTCCACCGTTTCCGCCGAGGATGCCGGTGACTTTGCGGCCCAGCAGCTCGAGCAGGCGGCCAAGGTGTGCCCTGAGGCTGCTGCCAAGGGCATGTACATTACCGAGATCGGGTGGCCGAGCGCCGGCCAGACCAACGGCAACGCTGTGGCTAGCAAGGAGATGCAAAAGGTGGCCATGAAGAAGATTATGGAGAAGGTTGGTAGCAAGGCCTGCGTCTTCTCCTTCCAAGATGACTTCTGGAAGCCCCCTGGTTCGCTCGGTGTCGAGCAGAACTTTGGTATCCTCGATGCTCTGACTTCGTACTAGACTTGACTTGCTTTTGGCTCTTTCTTTCTTTCCGACGCAAAGTTGTTTTGGCAGGGAAGACGGGAAGAGTGTACTATCTTGTACTTTATGTATGTAGTGCGCGCACTTTTTTGTGTCAATAATCTTCGGCCTACTTTACGCGTCTTACGCTTTTTCAACGTCTATCCCTCCATCCACCTACAACCTTTTTCCCTTGACTAGGTCTGTTATCCTTTTTGTTTGATTGTCGTTGTTCTAAGCCATGTCGAATAGCGGTGGCTTGTCGGTAGTTTTTAGTTTTTAATCTCGTATTCCTATACTACACACCTCATCCTTGCCTTGCAGTTCATAAACAAGCTTTTCCCGAAGCCCCGATCAGCCCGTTTGCTCATCTAATCGTGCTGAAGAAACAATCTCTACAGTGGGGGCCTGCTGTTGGTCTAATTTCCGAGCATGCCGGGCGTGGGCAAATTCGTTTATTAATTATTGCCAGTGTGCTGGGATGAGCGGTATGTGAGAGCTGAATCAGATGCTGGGCGCCTGTGAACAAGAAATGTCGTCCGCTAGAGCCGCTACGAAACGGGACGAGTAGCTATCTAGATTCTGATGTGAGATTACAGGTAAATGTGAGATAGAGTAGATATGTACCTACATGTGTCGATAGAATGCATCCTGCCAAATCTAGTTAACACTTTCAAACATGACGGGAGATCGACAACAGACACCCGTTTTGCCCGTCCTGCGTCGAACCTTCGGTTCCCAGCTTCTAGCACTCGCCCAACCCACGATAATTATCGATACGAAAAGCACACCCACCCGCCGTCCGCTTAGCCATGCCGCCCAATCGCGCCCGTGCTCGGTACCGTCCGTGGACAGTGGCTACCGCCGCTGGCGTCAGCTCGCTCGTGCTTCCTGGCCTGACGCTGGCTCGCTTGTTCGCCGCATCGCACTCGCCGTACCCGATGGCTTATGCAGGGCTGGTTAGCAGTGTCACGTTTGTCTTCTTTGGTTATGACAAGATGCAAGCGCGGAACTTGAATTGGCGGGTCAAGGAGTTGACGCTCCATGGGCTGGCGTTGGCAGGAGGGTGGCCAGGCGCACTTGCTGGTATGCATTACTTTCAGCACAAGACGCGCAAGACCGACTTTCAAGTGCTCTTTTGGGGCATTGTCTTGCTATGGGAAGCTCTGTCCTACGCCGTCTGGCAAGGCCTGGTATGAACGGCATGAAGAATGAGGTGCCTTGACGGATAGTATAACATACAGAGGCAACTACTACGAGGACCTTCCTACCCAACCAATCCAGTCTGCAAAACCCGGCTTATCCCACGGTTCACCCATTGTTACTCCGCCTTCTTGCTTGTTGTATCAGCCTTGTGCTCGACCTTCTGAGTCGCTTTGCCCGTCATTGTTGAGACTCGGTCGAGCGCGCTCTTCTGGTATCCCTGCAGCGCCTCCCAGTCGACTCGCTCCATTGCACCTTTCGACAAGTTCTGCGCCGAGCCCCAGATCTGGGTCGCTGCTCGAACTGTGACAAAAGAGTACCATCAGCGGCCGGTCAAAGGGCTAGTGAGTCGGTCTGCAGTTTCACCAGCTTGCTCTCCAACTGGGTTCTTCATCGCGCCACCGGCTATGCCACTGATGCCTTTCTTGAGGGTAGTCAGGTCCTCCTGGTCGGAAGTTGGGACCTTGTTGATTTGGTCTAGAGCATGTTAGCCTAATTGATCTATCGAGCCTCCCAGGGTAAACAGTTCCCTACCTTGCAACATGTAAGACATCTTGTTCTCTCCCATGGTCTTGAGAGCTTGCTTCTCCATGGCGCGCTTGGCTTCAGGGGAGAGGCCGAAGAAGTAGAGGTAGGCGCCAGCCAAAGCCAGGAGGCCAGCGACGATGGTGAAGAAGCCAACAGCCATGACGAAGAAGTCGGTGTAGTAGTAAGGTGAGGGTGTTGAGAAGTAATTGAAGCTGCCAATAGAGGGGTAGGACGGTTGAGATTGAATGTGTGCGATTGAGGGCGTTGGTGTAGCCGTTTATGTATGCACCTGGGCATGACGTAGAAACGTCACTGTTGCAGTATCCAGGTCTGCCCCTGGTCGCCCTGTGTACCTTGGTAACTGTGAACCTCTTTCTCGGCAAGGGGGAACAGTGTCGCTCCCAACAGAGCTGGCGTGGGCGAAGAAGTGTTCCAGCGCGGTTACATGTTTGAACAGGATGGTGCCTGCCATGGAGAGGCGTAACCTGGGAAGTGGAATGCACTTTAGCTGTTGGAAAGCTGCATAGGTGGAAGCAGTTGGCTGTTGCACCTTATGGTAGAGAGAGCCCCAAAGTGTGTGCAATGTCATAGTAAGTATACAGGCCTACTTCCGTGTATAATACAAAAGTCGGTGCCGACCCATAGATGCCGTACACAACAAACAAAAGGGCTAGTAGTACACAGTGTGCTGACCGGTGCGGTTGCTAGACGGAATCGAGTACATGGTCTTTGGTGCATGCTAGGAAGAGGAGTAGCTCCAGATGTCTCTCGTCCAATTTGCTGCGCCACAAAACGACAGGCGCAGGCCGCGAGGCGGACACGACCAACGAATGCGCCTTCCCCCCCACCCACCTCCTTTGGGTCTTTCAAGACCACTGACGGAGCGCCTGGTTTTACATCTTCCTCTGCCTCCTGTTGCACTATTCTCCTCCTCTACCCCTTGTCCCTTTTTTCTTCTTTCATATTCGCATTTCCATTGATACCTGTTGTACCTACCGACGAGAGAGAGAGAGAGAGAGAGAGAGAGAGAGACCCCTCTTCACCCCCACCACATCAGCTGCAAGACGCGCCTGATAGGCAGTCCAGGTCTGACAGTCAGCCGCGAGCCAACTCAGCTGCAGTCATATTACTGCGAGAAAGCTCGCCCATCATGAGTAGGACTGCGTCCCTCACTCTTTGTCTTCTATAATCGGCCCAGCTAACACCGAGTCGCAGTGACCAACATGCTCAACAAGCTGCATGGCCAGCCGGACAGCTATGATCGCAAGTCAGTACCTTGATACCCCGCCAATGATACTCGCATGCTGAGCAGGCCCGCCACAGATCCCGATATCGCTTTGGCAAGACTTTGGGCGCTGGAACCTATGGTATTGTCAGGGAAGCCGACTGCCCCGAGGGCAAGGTGGCCGTGAAGATCATCTTGAAGAAAAATGTTCGCGGCAACGAGCAGATGGTGTACGATGAGTTGGAGATGTTACAGCGCATGAAGCATCCACACATTGTCAAATTCCACGATTGGTTCGAGTCTAGGGTAGGCATCGTATGGGCAGCCTGTGCCGTAGCCTCGAGCTGACAGCGGGTAGGACAAGTACTACATTGTGACCCAATTGGCGACTGGTGGAGAGTTGTTCGATCGCATTTGCGAAAAGGGCAAGTTTACGGAAAAGGACGCTGCCGAAACGATTCGACAGGTACTGGACGCCGTCAACTACCTCCACCAGAACAATGTTGTCCACAGAGGTGCGTTATCAGCCCCAACAGGAGCTTACATGGCTAACAATCCCTTAGATCTCAAACCAGAAAACCTCCTCTACCTCACACGCGATCCGAACTCGTCCCTTGTCCTGGCCGATTTCGGTATTGCCAAGATGCTCGACTCCAAGACCGAAGTTCTGACTACAATGGCTGGCTCCTTTGGATACGCAGCACCTGAAGTTATGCTCAAGAAGGGTCATGGCAAACCAGTAGATATGTGGTCTTTGGGAGTCATCACCTACACTCTCCTATGTGGATACTCACCATTTCGGTCAGAGAACCTTGCAGATTTGATTGAGGAGTGCAAGAACGGCCGCGTCATCTTCCATGAACGTTACTGGAAAGACGTAAGCCCCGAAGCCAAGGAGTTCATCAAGAAGCTCCTGGAGCCAAACCCAGACAAACGACCCAGTAGCGAGGTTTGTCCAAAAAATTCCCACTCCGAGGCCTCCTACTAATAGGAACAGGAAGCACTCAAGCACGTATGGCTCAGTGGAAGCACCGCCAGCGACCGCGACTTGCTACCAGAGATCAAGGCATACGTTGCAAAGGCACGTCTCAAGCGTGGCATCGAGCTTGTCAAGCTTGCCAACCGCATCGAAGCGCTCAAGATGCAGGAAGACGAAGAAGATACCCCCCCAGGAGAAGCAGACGTGCCAGCCAACTCTCGGCAAGCTGCCGGCGAAGCAATTGCAGCACACTCTACTGAGAAGGGCTTGCCTACCAACGAGGATGCCAATGCTGCTTCTGGTTCTAGCAAGGGACCTGGGCGTTTGAGCCGGCTTGCCAAGGGAGCCATCTTCCGAGAGATCGTGCTGGCCAAAGTGCGGGAGATGAAAGAGCAAGAAGCCCAGAAAGAGTTCGAGAGGAAGGCTTCAGAATCATCGAAGAAGGGTTAATCACGGAGAAGAAACGGCTCGTCTCTTTGTTTGCGTGAAGTTCCCAGAAACCCAGGATAACTGCGGTTTTAGCAGATGTCCTTGACTTGTTAGCGGCCTGTGACTCAGCCAAAACCGGCGACGATTGTGTATAGTGGCCAGCGTGAAAAGAATGATTGCTTGTGTCTTGTCGTTGTATCCCAAATGTGCTGTTATGCGTGATTGAAATCGCGGATTCTACCATTGATGTTTGCCAGCACGGAGTGATTGCATGGATAGATGTTTGGATCCAACCGGACGGCCCGTTGGGGTCTAGCGCCCTTGGCAATGAATCCCTAGACAGATGGACTTGCGGCGCGTCAACGGGTTGAGCCCGCAACGCGCATTTCACTGCACCAGCGACACGATCCAGTCCGGCCTCGACGACCCTTGGCATCTGCTTGGATAGATTCTGCGACCAGAACGACACCAAGGATGGAGAGTGCGGCGAAGCGCAAGGCTGGCAGTGCAGCAACGGCCGACAGCGATGGGCGCCCTAACAAGCGCCAGAAAGTACCGGTACGTGCAGCCTGCAATCGGGGCGAGGGGGCGGGGAGGGGGGGGGGGGGGGGTTTTTGTAGGCATTGTCGGTGGTGGGCCCCGAAATAGACGAGGGAAAGAGAGAACGAGAGAGAGAGAGAGGAAGTTGTTGCGATGCGGCATGGTTCCTGGACAAGGAGCGCGCGACACCTAGGAGTGGTGGCTCAACGAGTCGCACATCACCTCCGACGGCCCCTCCCATGGCGCCCGCACAACACCAAAAGCAGCCCCGCGATAGCTACGTACAGAGCCGCAGAGGGGCCTCCAGTGTCTTCTGTGCGAAAAGATGGCTAACGCAGCGAATGCACGCAGGCCGAGAACACCCCCAGCGCTGAAACGGTAGAGTCGACAACGGCGCAGGGCTTGAAGTTCCTCGAGAGCTTGAAGCAGGCAAAGGACAAGACGTACGTACCCGCCCATGGTCGCTAGCCTCGCTCGGGGCAGCTCATCTGTTCATGCTTGCGCTTGAGCACCTGCTACATGGCTCCGTCGACGGACTGACACTGCGTAGGGGACGGCCGATAGCGACCCATTTCCTCACCCTACCCAGCAAGGTACGCATTCACCATGCTGATACATCCAGCCCATGACCCACTGACGCTTGCCTGCAGACCGAAGTGCCCGACTACTACGAACAAGTCAAGCTGCCCATTGCTATAGACACTATCGAGGTACATTTACCCTTCCTTTCCACCCCGTGCTGACACCATGCCCCACAAGTACATCTCATAAGCCAGCTTCTCAAGCTAAACACTCATCTTTCGCCCTCCAGACCAGCAACAGCTTGCACCCATGTTTATTCCATCTCGTAGTGGACTATGGACATGATACTAACAAACATGTACTTGTAGAACAAGCTCCACAAAGGAGCTTACGCAACTCTCGCCCAGGTTGAAAGCGACTGTAAACGCCTAGTCAACAACGCAAAGGCTTTCAATGAGAAAAAGTCGCTCCTCTACGAAGATGCCGAGCGTCTACGGAAGACGGCGTCGAATTGGATGGTCAAGCACAATCCGGCCTACCGAGATGGCAACTATATCGCAGTCCCAACACCTATTCCCGGCGAGGAGAACGTCACTCCCGGAAGGCCTACTCCTCGAGTCGTATCCACACCACGAACTGCGCATACCCCAGCAACCATAGAGACTGTTGACCGTCCACGACGAGCGGCTGCCGCTGCACAGGCCACACCTGCGCCATCAAAACTACGCCATTCCGCTTCTGTAGCTCCGGAAGAGGACGACAATCCAGAATACACAGGGAAGACCTTCCAGCAGGCACAAGAGCAAATTGTTCGCGAGCTCATCGAGCATGAAGAGTGAGTGACGACTGCATCGAATCGAAGCCTCGACTAACCATAACCCAGTGGCGGTCTGCAGATATTCGTACCATTCCAGAACCTCCCATCAAGAAGTCTGAGAGATTATTACCAGCTGATCAAAGACCCCATGTCATTGTCAGCTGTGCACAAGAAAGTTCGAGGCATCATCGGTCGTGAGGCGCCAACCGGCCAAACCCTCTTCAAGAGCTGGGACGCCTTTGAGAACGCTGTGAGCTTGATCTGGAAGAATGCACGCATCTACAACGAGGATGGAAGTGACATTTACAACCTCTCCCTAGAGTTTGAGGTACGCAATAGTTTCGCCGATTCATCAAATGAGGTGTACTAACGGATTAGGAAATCTTTTACAAAAAGCTCAGAGAAGCCAAGGCGAAGGTCAATGAACCAGCTCAGCCGAAGCTCAAGCTCAACTTGTCAAACGCTGCTGCAGCTCCTAAGCAGCAACTTAAGCTGAAGCTCAGACAGAGCCCAGCATCAGATCCAAACACACCAGCTGCACGTAACTCTACTACTCCTGGTGTCATTGTTGATAGCGATGCCTTGATACGACAACAACGCCACGTCCTTGACAGCATGGCCGGTGGTCGACCCTCCCGTGCATCACCAGTCGTCAAGGCTTCAACACCATCAGTATCCACTAATCCGTTCTCTGGACCGCGAGGTGGATCAGCTACGGTGGCACCACTTCCCACTACTCAGACCAGGACTGCTAGATCACCACCAGCTGTTAACGGTGTCAAGCAAGATGTCCAGTCCCCTGCGTTGAGCGCCATAAAGCCGGCCAGCACCACGTCAGATGGCCAGGGAGCGCGTCTTGGCGTTCCATCGCAAACACCACATCCAGCCATGGCACCGCCTGCCCTCAATCGAGTATCAAGTGGTAGTCCACATCCCAATGGAATGAGTCAGCCAAACGGCGTATATGGTACACCGCAACCACCGACTTACTACGCTCCTCCCGCTGTCCCACGTGTGGACAGCTTCCGCAAGGTTCCCCTCAAGAGTAAGTCCTCCTTATCCAACTACTCCGTCATATACTTATGATTTGTTAGGCATCGACGAAGCTCTCATACCCAGAATAACACTGAATACGCACCCGGCTCTCAACCTTGCTAAACCCTGGTCTGTTGTCGTTCCGGCCAGCTTAACCAAAGTCTCCCACAGCGCCACCATTGTCGTCTCCCCCACAAACTCGTACATCCAAATCACCCCCAAGGTCCCCATTGCTCTGACAAATCGTCTCTACCGCCTCTTCGTTACTGTAAATGGAAACCGCACACTCGAAGTCAATCGTGTTCCTGTCACCGCGGGTATCAACGGTAGTAGTCCCGGACCTGGGTACGAAGGCGGCAAGAAGAAAGGTGAGCCAGTTTTCGAAGCAAAGTTGGTCGGGGGGGTAAACAGGATTGAAGTGGAGATTGTCGCGGAGAAGGAGCACAAGGATGGCGGAGGGGATGCAGCCAAGGACAAGAAGGAGGATCAGATTGAAGTTGAGAAGAGCACGATTTTCCTGCATCTGATGAGACAGGCGTCGTACTAGGCGGATGACGAAGACTTGATGCAGTTTCAGTGCCATACTCAATGATGGCAAAGGTTTGAGCGGACTGAAAGCGGGAAGAGCCACGGGGAATTTGCATTAACTGGTGGTGTTGTTGGTGTTGTTGATGTTCTCCTTGTCCTTTCCCAACAAAGGGAATTGGGCGATTAATTGAAAGGTGGACCGGGAATACCAATTGGGATCATGGGGGTGTGGGTGGTTATCGGCGAACAGTGTATCTCTCTGTGTTTGCCAATTTTATATTTTTCTATAGGGTTTTGCTACACGGCCCATGGGGACTGTGTTTCTTTTAGGGTTCAGGAGCGATGTCATGGCTATGTGGGGGAGGGGAGCGCATCGAGAAGTTTTCTAGTTCCTCGATTCTCGCTCAGGCGATGGATGGGTCTTGTTCGATTAGGGCTTGGGTTGGGATATGTAGTAGCAGACTTTTCCACGCATTCTGGCCTTTGTTCTTCATACGATTGCGATGTGGAAGCGGGTGGTTGTCGCAGTAGTGGATTTATTTTGGTGGTGGACGGTGTGGGTTGCGAGTTTGTTGCTGTGTCTTGTAGGAATAGTATGATAGTCAATCAGATTGTTCATGTGGGTATGTGCATTGTTGCTTATGGGTAAGTGACGGTCAATTCTTGGTAGTAGGCTTAGATGAGTGGTTAAAAGGGAGCAAATATGAACAACTGTGGAAGATGGTGGAGGTATTGATGTACCCCTTGCGGTGTTGTTTTATTTAGGCTAGGTGTAGGGCCGTTGGTGAAGCACTATTTTTAGGTTTACTAGTTTAACATCTACACTCTTACTGTACGGTACGGTACTGTGAGCATGTGTATAGCTAGAATCTGAAATCTTGTGACTTTACGATAGTTGTTAATCACAATGAAAAGGGCCAGACAACTCCCCACATGTGCGTATAGATCAAGACCAAGATAAATGTGGTGGATCTCAAATAGTAGGAAACTATAGTTTCTAAAACCTAACATTCGGATTGTGGACATGGTGATGTTATTGTTAGCATCTCACCCACGTGAGATCGATCGACATGCTTTCCTGAGTTTGACGCTAGTACCCCAGAAGTTTGGGGCGATCCAAGGTGCGACAGCGCAACCACACACAATGTCCAAACACCAAACAAACAACACAAAATGACGAACCTGGACATGCTGCTCCTCAAGGGAGCGTCGTCCAATAACCCAGAAGAGAACCTGAAAGAATTGCGCTACACTGTACTCACAAAAGGAATCCCATCCAACCTCGAGGGCATGGTACGTTCATCATCGCCCTGTGACGCTGTCGCCTACCCACCACCCTCCCCCAACCCCAGCAACGCATAAGAACCACATGTCCAGAGATGGCTGCCGAGTTCTTTGTTGGCTGACTATTTCCCACCCATCTTTTTCAGTCCGAACTGCGCATCTACGTCTGGCTCATCCTGCTCAATGCGCCGCCGCTCAAAACTGACGTCTACCTCGACCTCGTTCGACAAGGCGCGTCGCCCGCGCACGCCAAAATCCAAAACGACACCTTTCGCACCTTCCAGGGCGATCCGCTGTTCCGGCGGCGCGTCACGCAAAACAGCATCACACGCGTGCTCAACGCCGTGGCCTGGCGGCTCAACGATGCGCACGAGGCGCGCGTCAACGGCTGGCAATCCCCCCCGACGCTGTCCGAGTTTGGTGGCAGCCCAGACGCCTCGATGATGTCGCGGCATTCGCTGACCGGGGGCACGCGCACAGAAGCCTCGACGACAAACGACGCCGAGCAGATTGGCTATGTGCAGGGCATGAATGTGCTGTGTGGGCCGTTTTTATACGCGGCCAGGAGCGAAGTCCAGGCTTTCACGGGGTTTGAAAAGCTGATTACGCAGGAGTGCCCGGGGTATGTGAGGGGCTCGATGGAGGGTGTGCACAAGGGTCTTGCGCTCGTCGATCGCGTCCTCGAGGTGGTGGATCCCAAGCTCTATGCACATCTCATGGCGCACCACATGGAAGCGAGAATCTACGCCTTTGCCTCCGTCCTCACAATGTGTGCCTGTACCCCGCCCTTGCCAGAGGTCCTGCAGCTCTGGGACTTTCTCTTCGCATACGGCCCCCATCTCAACATCCTCTGCATTGTGGCACAGCTGGTCCTGCTGCGTACCGACATCTTGAACAGTCCTAGGTAAGTAAACGCTACAGTCATTTCCTGAGGAGCGGCTACTCTCCCTTTTCTTAAAAAGATATTTCCAAGTCACCTGTACTGACCCTTTCGTCAAACAGCCCAAACACTATCCTCCGCAATCTTCCCGGCCTCAATGCCTCCAAGATCATCGCCGTGGCTATGAGCTTCGCAGGCAAGATACCAGAGGCCATGTATGCAGAGATTATCAATCATGCAAAGTGAAGGGGCCGGGTGTGCATCGGATTGACATGACGCTTGATACTGGGGGGTGGTTTATTTTTAATGAGATATGACGGTATGACGGTATGATACCCTTGAGCAGAGATAGGCTTGTAATACGCAATGAATGACTTGTATGACTGGAACGATATGATGCTTGTGCCTCTGGTATTTTACCTGTGAGCGAGGTTTCGTCAAGTGCATGAAGTTGCCGCGCACCTTTTGAAGGAGAAGGTTGATGTTGGGGACACAATCGGCAGGGGCTTATCAACATATTTCTACGCAAGAGTTCCGGGTCCCCTGGGATTACGCGTAGAAGTCAAGAAGCTGGATTGCGTGACATGGTACTTGATACTATTCTGGCCCTCGCATCAAATTAACGTGGACATGGATATATGTTCACGGCACCTCAGCATCATCATCATCGCCTCCAAACCCAAAGCTAAACCTCCCTTCCCCTTCCACATCCTCGACCCCCTTTGTCAACGCCTCCCACCTCCCCCGGCCCCCCTTCCCCCTCTTCTCCAACTCGGCCAAGCCGTCTGCCAAAACCTCCGGAAACCGCTCTCCCAACCGCTCGACAAACAATTCATACGCAGAATCACAGACGTCTTCGCGGAAGCCACTGACCTCTGCCCTCTGGTCCCTCAAAAACGCCAGAACATCTGGTAATTTCTTGCGGGGCACAAAGTTCTGTGTGAGCGCTAGACTGTCTTCGAGATTGAGGACGAGGTGGAACCAGCCAGAGGGGACGTGCAGGACCTCGCCGGCGTGGCAGATGCCTTCTTTGCAGCCGGGGGTTTGCCGCGCGAGCTCGTGGAAGGTGAGCATGTACTCTGCGATGCTAAGCGGGCTTGTGATTTCGCTCTGGTCGTCGCTCACGATGACGCCGGGGGGTGGTGGGATGTCGGGGCCAGCAGGGAACATGAGCCAGTACTTTGACCCTGTGAGCACGGCATTCCACGCACTTGTCGCATTGGGGTCTTTGTGGAAAGTGGAGCCGCTGCGGGCAGGGCCCATGATCATCCAGCGGCAATCTGGGCGGTGTTCGTCGAGCACGCCGAAGAGGTCATCGCCGAAGCAGGTGGGGCTCCAGTAGGAGGCGTGGGGGGAGTGAGGGGGAGCCGTGATGTCGATGTTGGTTTTTGGGGCAAAGGCGCGGTCGAAGAGGTAGAGGGGAGATTCGTCGGCGTTGTCGTGCATGTAGGTCATGTAGGTTGACATGGGCCAGTCTACGGCTTCTGCACGGAATTTGGTGTCTGCATACTCGGACAGCAGGTATTCTGGGGTCCAGGTACCGTACACGGGCCATTCTTTGACGGGCGAGGTGAGGATGAAGGGTTTGTCCACCCAGGTTTCGGCGTATTCTTCGTAGGTCAGGTCGGTGAGTCGGGAGATTTCATTGCTTTTTGGTATTTTGGCGGCGTAGGAGTTCAGTGGGGTGTGGGCGCATTGGAAGGGTCGGTAGAGAGTGTCAGAGAAAAGGTTGGTGCACGGTATGGATGTGATATGTTCTCTGGGTGTGCGGAGGTATGTTGCTCGCCATGTTCCACGCCACTCAAAGTCTTCTGGCGGTGAACTGGTCGGTGATCAGCAATCGCAAATCGTGGCTGTACTGGTCGTTGAAAGAAGGATTATAGGCACAAAGTTGTGCAAGAGGATACATGAACACATTCCATGTATCAATCTTTCTTATGCATGGCACTGCAAATCTCACTCCTCAGATACTTGGAGGCTGGCAATGCTAGGAACAGGGAAAGCCCATTTGCACAATGAGTGTCGAAGGGCTCTATCATCCGAACCGTTTGCACACCGCTATACATTCCAAGACACAACAGAGCGGCGTAATTTCTCTCCAAAAACAGGTCGAGTGGAATTGACAGGGAGTGGAAAGGTCTGATGACTGCAGGTATGACTGGAACATACGAAATGGGAAAGATGGTGGCAGCATCCCAAACTTAAGACTCACCTCACAAACAAGGCCCTCCAGAGTTCGTCCAGTCTGGTGAAAGCGTACAGGGCTCGACATGTGCTTCCCAGTCGTACCAGGACGTCAGCATCGAATGACTCCAATATGTGGCTGAGAAGCTCATCGGGCAGCCTGGCGAACAGTCCACAGTGCGACTTTATATTTTCAGTCGCAGTGTATGCATTCCCGGCGGGCTTGATCCCAAGAGGATGCGAGGGGAGTGCTATCGCCACACATTCATCGTCGTCCTCGAAGTTTGCCTCTTCCGCGAACTTGATTTTTTTCGAGGGTCGTGATTCGACATAGGCGATGCTGGGATTCTCTACCATTCCGGGTGCCATGTTCACGGCCGGATTGGGAACGATGGATGCTGCGTGGTTGCCCACAGTCACACACGTTGTAGCAAGAAAAAAAGAACCCACACATACACACACACACAAAAACACAGAGAGACAATAATAGTATGAGGCAAACGTAACGCCTTCCAAAGAGTCACACTCGGGTACGAGTAGTGCAGTGTGCAGTGCGCAGTGCATGGATGGCGTGGGCAAGGTATCGTTGGGCTAAAGTCGGCCATGTTCCGTTACTGCGCGGCGTGGTGGCGGTAACCGGTTCGGGTTAGCGTGCAGCGCGACTCTAAGAGTTTTTTTGTCCCAAGGTTATATCAGTCGCCCACCACCGAGCCTTTTACTTCCATCACACCAACCCAACCCACAACACAACTATACACACACACACACACACACACACACAAACACACATACCTGCTTAGATACCCCTTCGATTCTCACACTGAGGATCTGGTATCTATTTTATTTTCACCCACCTCACCTTCACACACGCGGCGGCATCCAGAGGATCCCCCCGCCTTAACCCCACCACGAGCAAATCTTCGACTACGGTGCAGCACCAGTAGTCGCCCGCGCTCTTCTTCGCAATCATGGCTGACAAAGGTCTCGAGGATGTGCCTGAGGGTGAGTGCTATCCATCTCCTGTGTCGCCGTCTGCGGTTGCGCGCTCGCTGCCGCCGTGCGACACACACTGACAGTCCGCCCGCCCTGCCTTGGGCTGCTCAAAAATCCAAAATCAGTGTTCCGAACAGTTAGCTAAGTACGCGACACACAGGCCAGATCGAGTCCAACTACGACGAGACCACCGACTCGTTCGACAACATGAACCTCAAGGCTGAGCTCCTTCGCGGAGTCTATGCCTACGGTTTCGAGCGCCCGTCTGCCATCCAGCAGCGTGCCATCATGCCCGTCATCAAGGGTGAGTTTTCCCACCCACCCACCGCACCAGCCCACGCTGGCGACACAAACAGCAAATAACTAACTCGCCACATCAGGTCACGATGTCATTGCACAGGCCCAGTCTGGTACCGGTAAAACGGCTACCTTCTCCATCTCCACCCTGCAGAAGATCGACTCCAACGTCAAGGCCTGCCAGGCGCTTATCCTTGCCCCCACCCGTGAGCTCGCCCAGCAGATCCAGAAGGTCGTTGTCGCCATCGGTGACTTCATGGACGTCCAGTGCCACGCCTGCATCGGTGGTACCAGCGTTCGTGATGACATGAAGGCCCTCCAGGACGGTCCCCAGGTCGTTGTCGGTACTCCCGGTCGTGTCCACGACATGATCCAGCGTCGTGTCTTGAAGACCGACCACATGAAGATGTTTGTTCTCGACGAGGCCGACGAGATGTTGTCCCGCGGTTTCACCGAGCAGATCTACGACATCTTCCAGCTGCTTCCCCAGTCCACCCAGGTCGTCCTCCTTTCTGCCACCATGCCTCAGGACGTCCTCGAGGTCACCACCAAGTTCATGCGTGACCCTGTTCGCATCCTCGTCAAGAAGGACGAGCTGACCCTCGAAGGTATCAAGCAGTTCTACATTGCTGTTGAGAAGGAGGACTGGAAACTGGACACTCTCTCCGACTTGTACGAGACGGTCACCATTACCCAGGCTGTCATCTTCTGCAACACCCGCAGGAAGGTCGACTGGCTCACCGACAAGCTCACTGCCCGTGACTTTACCGTCTCGGCCATGCACGGCGACATGGACCAGATTCAGCGTGATGTCATCATGAAGGAGTTCCGTTCTGGATCTTCCCGTGTCCTCATCGCCACTGATCTCCTTGCCCGTGGTATCGATGTGCAGCAGGTATCCCTGGTCATCAACTACGATCTCCCCGCCAACCGCGAGAACTACATCCACCGCATCGGTCGTGGTGGACGTTTCGGACGTAAGGGTGTTGCCATCAATTTCGTCACCGCCGACGATGTCCGCATGATGCGCGAGATTGAGCAGTTCTACAGCACACAGATTGAGGAGATGCCCATGAACGTGGCTGATCTCATCTAAGAAGTTGTTCTTCTTTGATTTCTTTGACTCGTACTCTCCGCACCCGCTAGCTTTGTTGGCCTATCTGGTGCAGAGAGGGTGGTCATCTAATTGAGTGTGCCTGCACGGTCGGGCGGCGCTCGTCGATTGATTCGGTTAAAAAGTGGTACGAGATAAGGCGAGCCGTCGCCTTTTCATCGCGGCATCTCGGCGTTGGTCTCTAATGTGCGAAATGATTTCCCTAAAAGAATGTCTGCATATGATAGAGATGCGATGCTTTGTGGTGGGATTGTCTCTCTTATGCAGTTTCATGTTTCTGTTTTACGATTTGGAGGACCAGCTGCGAGTTGTCACGGCTTGTCGCGGTGGGATTTGTTTTCCGTGGCCACGACTGTCGACGATAACGATCATGGGTTTCCAATCATATAGAGATGCGGTTCAATTGCATGGATTTTTACTTCACTCGCTTCAACTTTGTCACTGTGACGTGCATGGGACCGACGGGTAATCGGATGTGGATCCTTCCACTTGGACAGCATTAGTGTCCGCGCCCAGAGATGATTGACATGTGTAGATGGACGTCTTCAAGAGCCAAGAAGAACCATCATGTCCATATCAGTCAAATTGTACTACGGAGTAGAGTAAAGTCGAGTTGTACTGCGGAGTAGAGTGAAGGCTCTCGCAGATCACCCACCGCTTCCATACTGCACGTATCGATAGCCTCGGCCCATGACATCAACCCCTCCGACTCCGAAGGTCCCCAATTCGCGCTTCCCATGAGACCAACAGCATGGCTCGCCCAAAGCAAAGCCATTGCGACCATGGCTCTTTCCCAGTCTTCTATTGTGAGTCCTTTCTACGTTGTATTTCCTGTCTCTTGGTGCCGTACTACTCCTCCTCATCATCATTACACAAACATTGCTTTGGCCTCATGGGAAGTCACTAGGTAACCTTGGATCTCTTCTAGCAAGCCTTGAATCGCCTTCGAACATATACCCCTCCACCAACGCAATGGTACAACTGTCCGCTCACACGGCGCGCTGCTGTCCTGATACTCCTCTTCCCCGACCGACATGGCGACCTCAAAGTTGTTCTCACAATGCGAAGTGCACAGATGAGGAACTACGCAGGTCAAGCTGCACTGCCTGGAGGTAAGTTCGGCAGACAAACTACACTGAAGGAGTAATCCTGAGAAATACCACGTATAAAATTGGCTAAAAGCGTACATCTATTTTCCACAGGCAAAGCAGATACCCTGCAAGAAAGCCCTTGGGACACCGCCCGCCGCGAAGCCTACGAGGAGATTGGTCTTCCCATGAGCGACGACAAGCTCCGTGGCTTCAGCGTAGAACACCTCTGCGAACTACCCACCAACCTCGCCAAAACAGAACTCGGCGTGCGGCCCTGTGTCGCATTCTTGCGACCATCCAACCTACCATCCGACAATAGCACACCTACGTCGCAAGCAGATGACGTATCCGTCGAAGAACGATTGATACCCCGTCTCGACCCCAAAGAAGTAGCCGCAGTCTTTACCGCACCTTTCCACAACTTTCTATGTAAAAAATGGGAGGGCGACGGGCCCGGGCCTGTACAGAAGAACGGGAAGCCTGAGAAATGGTACAGGGGTGCTTGGACGGATTGGCATGAGTCTCGATGGCGAATGCACAATTTCTACATACCGCGGCCTCCACCTTTACCTACTTCCATACTCCGAAACCCAGCCAAATCTGCACAAACTTTGACTTCATACTCCTCGACGGACAAGGCACATCCGGAAGGCGATGACCCCCGACCTGAACCTAGCGCCCTAGACGATCTCACAGCGTTCAGGGTGTTTGGCATGACAGCGCGAATTCTAGTCGATGCGGCAAGGGTAGCGTATGGTGAAGAACCACAGTTTGAGCATAACAGTCACCATGGAGATGAGGATATGATTGGGAGGCTGTTGAAGATGGGTCGGTTGAGTGAGAAGGGGCAGAAGGGGGAAGAGTTGACCAAGGAGGTTTTGACACAGGCTAGCAAGATGTGAATGCAATGCAATTTGACTCAAGAGCAAAGTTTCAAGAATATCTCCGGGTGATTACTTGAGCGAGAAGTGCAGACTAACTGAAATGTGAGCAGTTCAATCATTCAATCGAACCAAGGAGAAGATGTTTAAGGGCTTTGATTCCAAAGCGTACTATAGAAGCATTTTCAAAGTCCCTAGCTAAATACCGGCCCGGTCTGCAAATAACATCTGCCACCACGAAGGACCTCGTGACACAACCAGACTTGTCCTCTCCGTCATAAACGTCTTTGTTTCCATGAATTCGTCAATTGCTATACACCACACCATAGGTGGCCGGCGGATTCCCATTCGAGACTTTCCGATACGACACTTTTGCCTCGCACCACATCTCCCCTTTTTCATTGTAATACTCAAAAGAAACAGCCAACCTCCTCTCTTTCGCATACGCCTCCAGCAGCGGCCAATCCTCCTTATAAATATTAATATTCCTAAACGCAACCGTCCTCAGCCCCGCCAAGTCATCCAGCCGGGCTATCAAACCCCTCACATCTTCAGCCAACGGACGCTTCGCGCAAAACTTTGCACCAAAGAACACTTTCCTAACGGCATTCTTGCCGTCCTTGTCCACTGGTCCCGTCAGGAAGGCTGGCAGGTTGGCCGGCTGCTGGCCCACGGCATGTTGAAAGGCGTTCAATTTGTACGCCAGCAATTTGGTTTCGGCATGGGTCTGGTGGCAGACTAGACTTAGGGTGAAGAGGTCGTGCCAGGTGTAGAGGAAGATGGCATCGTCGCTTTCGGCTGCGGGGATCAGTTGGCCTGAGCTGGATACTTCGTGGCCGCCGATCACATGGGCGTAGATTTCATCCCGGATTTCTCGGGGAAGGCTGAGGAGGGTGGGGGGGCTGGTTGGGATTGTTAGGGGTTGTGGATGGAGAGGTTTGCGGTTGAGGTGGTTTACGTACGGTTTTGATGTGATGGGGGAGGAAGATGGTGTGTCCTCGCATATGGTCATTGTGGAGTTTGGAAAATCCGAGACCTCGTGGTTGGAAGGCAGTCTCTTTCGTTGATATTATGGGTTTTATAGTTGAATGTTGGATGTATTTGTGTGGTGTAGAGCGAACGAATTTGATCAACAGTGAGGACAAGCACAGGGCCAAGGGCAAGTGAGTTACAAGTTAGCTTTGACGTCAGATGAACTGATCGGGCTCTCTTATATAAGAAAAATAAAATATCAGGCTTGGAATTCTAGGTACGAATCTATATTCTTCTTTCTTAGTGTATGCACGCGCACCATGGTTCTAAACTGCACTAGTGACCAAATATCCAACGATTATATTCGACATGGAACTTCACTGGCCGTGCTTGCATGTTTGTTCGCCTAGTTTTGAATCATAGGATACTGTATTGAAATTACTGCGCAGTTGCAATGTATCCGCAGTCTTTCAAAGGTACATCTTTGAAAGCAAATCTTAGTCGCAACGCAGCATCTCTAAACAACAATCTGGTACATTCCTACAATGTAGCCAAGTATACATGTTCAGCACCTACAAGTATTAGCCAAATACATGGTTACAATAGCGTATATAAAATTATTTAGCAAAAATGCGTTTGTGCATGCTTTATGGCCCATAACACAGATGAATACAAATTCGCTTCATGCATGCATCGCGTGCGCAGTAGTTTCATTACTAGGAACGACATCATCACCACGGAAGCAATGATCTTGATTCTCACCATCTCTACCACTTTTCTCGTCAATGCCGTGCTTTGTAGCTCTCGCAAGTAGTCTACAGTCATGAGTCCGTATTTGGATCGAGCTGGTAGGTATCTAATCTCCAACGAATCCCTTCTACATCTAGAGAAACATGGCTCTATTCCATATCTTGAGTGAAGCAAATCAAGGTTACAAGGGGTAAAAAATGTCGCAACCTGAGCTCTATAACGTAGGCACGCGCTTCGCGTCACTGCAGGCTCTGGGTTCATTGTGGTGAGATTGTATTGAATGGCGTTTGGAGCAACAAGAACGTTTGCGATCATTTCCGGCTAATTCTTGCTCCTTTGGTCGAATGCGCGTTGTCTCATGGTTGTCACCTAGTATCTCCTGCAGATAGAGTAGTCGTCGCAACTTTGATGTGACATGTATGGTAATGTGGTTCAAAGTGTATGCGGTGCAAGGTTGCAAATTCAGCGCAAAAGGAAGAGATTGAACTAAATGAAGATTCGCACTCAACCACCAAATGATGCAAATAGCAGAGGTGAAGGTGACAGATGAGACTACATTTCAGATTTGAAATGTAAGGGAATTTTGTAACGGTAGGCCGAACATGATTGCTAAATCCACGCCGCCAAAATTGTAGCTCTTCGTTTCATCTGCCAGATTTTGCAGTCAACCTACTACATTCCACTAAGCACGCTCTGCACGCCCACAGTATTGACATCATCCCTTCTGGCAATATACAACTTGAGCTCCTGCGCATCTTGCCCACTTGCTGCCCTCAACCTATCTCTCAGCGCCTCCGGCCCAATGATGAACAAGGTGCTCACATCTGTCAAAACATCCATAGCCCCGGGCTCCAGCTCGTCACCCATGGGCCAATCCCTCACAAGCTCAACATAGCGATTCATGTCTTTCGACACACTCAGCCCGCCGACCTGCGAGACAGTGAAGCGGAGAAGATGCGCAAGGACTTGGGCGCGCAGGCCACGAGCTAGTTCAGCAAGGAAGAGGGAGAGGTTGCGGCCAGAGAGAGCGGTAGTGGCTTGTGTAGCGACACGACTGAGAAAGGCGGAAACTTCTCTGCATGCTTGGGTTTCGCTTGTGACCATTAGGTCGTCGTCTTTGGGTCGAAAGTCTGTCTTCTTTTGTTGGGAGAGGAGTTTGCTGACCCAGTTCAAGGAAGCCGTGAGAGTGAGGTTGAGAATATTGGAAAGCTTGGATTCGAGTGTTGCCATTGTAGAATTGCTGGTCTTCTCGAGTTCGCGACGAATGGTGAGGTTGGGTGCACAGAGTGGTAGGAGGATCGTGGTAATGGTTTGTTCCAGTAGATGGAGAATGGTGGTTATGGTGTGAAGAGATGGTAAATGCGTGAGGTCTGGTGGTGTTTTCGAATTTTCCTGCAAAGCGGCGTGGTCTTGTGCACTACATTGATGTTAGCACCTCATATGTATTCTTCATCGCCATAACTTACGCCTCTAGAGCAGTCTCGAGATACATCTCGCCCATTTGCCGCAGGAGCAGGTTCAGAAGAATTTGTACATCTTTTGGCGTCTCGTTATTGGGCGATAGCTCTAGTCCTCGCCCAACCCCTTCTGCCAGCCACTTGAGCATTCGCTTAGCAACTTGCAGGGACAATTTTCCGTCTTCATCTGTGACTTCGATATCCTTCTTCTCTTGCTGATCTTCTCTAAGGCCGGCAATGCGGAGCAACGTGGCTTTTTGACTTGCTGGCAGATCTGTGCTTTCGAGGCGCTCCATGTACTTGTCGCGCGCAGACGCTGCAAGTTCTTTGCCTCTTTGAGCAAGTGATCCAAAGTATGATGTTGGCGTCTTGCTTCGTCGGGAGTGGTATATAGTAAACTTTAGTAGCAGGGAAGAGTAGAGCTCTTCTAAATTTTTCTTTTCGCGCTCAATATACTTTTCGCCAATGAAATAGGAGGAGAAGAGCTCCTCAAGCTGTTGATCCAGTGTGGCCGCTATTTGCGAGGTTGCAGGTTCTGGATGCTCCGTCAAGCCATGCGACTTTAGGTCATCTACTAGCTGGGTGATGTACCCTCGCGAAGCTTGCAATGAACGCAAGAAGGCAAGGGAAGACAATTCGCTTGCCTTTTCCAAGACCATCTCAAGTCTTTGTTGTATCGACTGTTGAAATATACGCTCAATGAATTTCACCAAGACCTCCTCATAGTATGGAAATGCTCGTCTGATGATCGCAGACTCTTCTTGAACAACAATCTTAACCTCATCGATCAGCGATTGCAGCGTTGGCTCAACACCGGGTGGCTCTGCATCCGGATCTTGGAGGCGATCCCAAGTCTCTGCATCTGTTGAGAGTTCTTCTGCAGTCAGTTGCATCCGCTCAATGAAGAATGAATGCTGGTTAACGTATGTGCCAATGACACTCGAGCCATCATTGAATCCTCGCAAGGCGATGGCACAGTCGCGCATGCCATTGTAGTTCGGCCGCCTATAACACTCATCAAATTTGACGAGTAAGTCTTTCTCTAGATTCTCCAAAAACTTCTCAATGACCTCGTTCGTGTTGTATTTCGATACTTGCATTGGCGTCTTCTTCACGCCATTCTGTGCCTCGCCATTGACACGATGGTTACTGTCTGGGTTCAGACGAGTACTAATACGCAAGAGTTGGCGGGCAATCTCAGCACAACGCACAATGTCACCACTTCGTCGGTGATCTTCCAGGATATTGAGTTCACCCCGCTCGCTGACCTCTTGCCAGCATTCGATGAGAAACTTGGCGTCCAAAGCTTTCTTGCGTTGACGATCTAGCTCCTCCAACCTCTCGCCGATGCGCATGGCAACGTTGCCACCAGCATCTGATCCGCCATCGTCGTTGCCGTTCAACGAGCTGTCGAGTTTCTGGAATCGGTCCATGGATTGCTCAAGTCTCCGACCCAAAGACTCCACATTCTGATTATGCTGGGTTTCGGCGCGTCGTACAGCCCCAGAGAGCTCATTTTCCTTCTCCTCCAGATCCTCGGATAGGTACGTCAGTCGTGTCAGGGCATGTTCGAAGGTTCGAATGAGCGGTTTCGGATCAAAAGTGACCTGGCCTGTGGTGGCTCCTGATCTTCGTGAAGCGGGGACGGCGGCATCGGAGAGGTCTTCGATGAAGTCCTTTACTATGAAGTCTTTGCTCTGATTATATCAGTAGGCCGTACAACGTGACTTCTGTTCCTCGCGGGTATCTTACCGAGAACTTCTCTAATGTGAACTGCGGTGCTCGCAACGAGGTCCGCGAAGTCGCGTGAACAAGTGTAGATACTGACTCGCGATGGCGAACCTGCATCGTGTTGCGAGTCTATTTTGGTACCTGTTGAGCGCAAGAAAGGGTACCGTCACTCTTTCACAGCTTGGTGTCACCGCCTTGAAGCTGCTGGTTGGGCGCTGTCGCAAAGCATAGAGCACTCGCGCTCACCACTAACACTGGCTGGCTACGGCCAGACTGTTTTCGATACGGACGATGTGATATTAGGATTGGGCGCGCGCCATACGTGGCTGACCACTATGAAGACGCATCAACAAGCTGCTGCTGCCTCCTCGCGTTCGAGCTTCAGGGTGGTTGGATGTGGCTTGTTGCGCGGCACCCCCACGCCTCGGTGGCAGCTCAAGCCGACTAAGCAATGGGTGGTGGTGAGTGCCATCATGCACCCTTGGAGAGGATCCCTCACCCCCCCCCCCTCTCTTCCATGGGAACCATCATTCTTCTCCTCGAGACCCTGCACAGGGCAAACATGGGAGAGCATGCTTGGACTGCCCACAGCCATGCGCACTTGCGACGACTTTTCGGTTAGGTCTACATGACAAGCACCCCACACGTCA